CATAAAAAAAATCTTCAGGATAAATTGTCACAAGCTAAATATGAATTTCGTATTGACTTTACAATAATATTTGTTACATTATTACAATAAATTAAAGCAATTTTATTGGTTATTATATACAAATTAAAAGCTATTATATATATTGTAATATTTTCTAGTTTTATTAACCTGTGAAAAGGTTTTTTGTATTATTACCTTTACATATACAGCAAATTTTATAGGTTATATCTGTGCAGGTATAGCTAGTGAAAACTTTTATTATCTGGCATGAATAACATATTATTTCCTTCCCGTATGCTTTTGGTACAATGTTACCTCCTTATTGTCTAAAGTGCTACATTTTCAAGATGGTCTTCATGTATATTTCTACCATTTATCATAAGAAATAAATCAGTAAGAAAAAATATCTTTCATCCAACATAATCAAATACATTACTTATATCCTGGAATCTCCTAATTTACAAATAGAATCCTAATATATGCTTTGTAATTTGAAATTTTCAGTAGATTTTAAGTATTTCCTCAATACCGGAAGTGGAAAGACATTGCCGAAATATTAATTAGATTTTCAGCGAATTATGAAATTTATTTACGACCCACAAGGGAATAATTTCTTTCGAAAAATATAATGGAAAGGGATAAAATTGCTTCCCCATATAAATCAGCGGAAGTTATATTTAAAATTGAATCAAAGCAATTAGCGGAATCCCTGTGGATTATAAATGGATTTTTATTTCGTTCTTCCGCGTTTCAAAATAAATTCAATTTATATGAAGGGTAAAAATAAAATACTAAATGAACTCTGTAACAGTGCCTTAATTGACAAAGGATCACAGGTTCAGTATATGAAGTATATAGGAGTGAATTATATAGAGATATGGAAAGGCACAAACAATGACATAGTGACAGAATGATTAAATGACAGAAATATATAAATATTGAAGTGTATAAAGGAAAATGGACATAGAGGTATAATAGTATTTTTTTATTTATAAAATAAATATATTTTACATCTCATGTCTACTTTTAGAAAATGCTAATTAATTCTATATAACTCATACTGGAAATCACCTTATTTGATTTTATATTATTTTATATTATTTGTTTGAATATACAGCAATAATCTTTATATTTGTTAATTAAATTACATATTTCAAATAAGTTATCTATATTCAAATTAATCATCAATGATAGTTTAATTATATTATCCAACCTATTAACTCTATTTTTGAAGTGAAATGTTTTAATGTATTGGTTGACAAAATTATAGAAAGACCTGTTTACAGTGAAATACGACTTGGAATTGCTGACATAGAATAGCGAGACAGAAAGACTTACCACAAGACATATCACAACAGAAGGACTAATATCTATTGATTTACTAGTTGATATAATCTGGATGACAAAAAAGGTACTAATTGACATGTAGTGATAGAATGACTAACTAATATAGAATGAAATCATTACTGGTTGAATTTCATAGATCAATAAATATTTTTGATAAAATAATAGAAGGACCAGTTTATAATGAGTAATAAAGGACTAGGTGATATAGAGTGAAAAAAAAACTAGCTAACATATAGTTGCAAAAACACAGAAAAAAAAGGACATACTAGAATAGTACAGCAGAAGTACTGATTGATTATCATGGAGTCACGGAAGTCACAGAAGTAATAGTTGACAATTTGATAAAAAGACTAGTACATGTAGAGTGACAAAAGGAGTGACATAGAATGACAGAAGAACTGCTAACATATATTATTATATATACTGGTTGACATAATGTGGCAAAAGAACTGGTTGGCATACAGAAACTAAATGACTATTAGACATAGAATCACAGAAGTACTGTTTGATCAAGGATGACGGAAGGATTGATTGATATAAAATGATGGAAAGACCGGTTGACAAAGAGTGTTAGAGAAACTAATTGAAATAGAATGTCTGAAGTACTAGTTGAGAGAAGTTATGACTAACTTAGGGCAACGTAAGTATTACATTTCACCTGCAGCTAGATAGATATGCATACAGAAAAAGAGGCAAAAAGACAGAAGGAAATCAAAAACCAGAACAGACGTTAAAGTCTAGGGGGATGGAATTTGCATAGATCAATAAATGTTAATTGCGACTGTTAATGTATGTTGCCGACAATAAACGGCATTTTAATGGTAATGTATTCAGGCGGTAAAAGGAGTGTGTGTTTTTCGGAGGCGGTGTTGATTTTCGACGCTCCGCGGATTCGGCTCGCTTTGTGGTTACGTAATTAGCCGGCGAGTTCTTTCTCGCCGCAAAGAGAGTTTGCGTTGATTGTTATGGTTGTGCGCGCATTTCAGTATCTTCGGTCGTTCTCCAATTTAATTATCCTCGACAATTAAAATTGCGCAAACATTTGCGACAGAAAAGTAAAAAGAAATAAAAGTCCTCTCGACAGGACAATCATCTGTAGCGTTTGAACGTCAATGTTTTCAATGCCCGAGACGCACAGGACTTGAAACTGCACAGGACATATTCTCCCTGAGGCTATAGGAAACTCATGAAAGCTTCCTCCGAGCTGTCACCAGTCATTGTCGGAAACTCATGCGATTCAGGAGACTACGTTGTCTACAAATGTAACACTCGTACGTTTCCTGGTTCGACATGAGTTCTTCATTTTTTCTATATTTAAATCGTTGTGGCATTTGCTAATTAGGGTGGTGTTTTTTTTTCTTAATGGAAGTGCGCAAAGAAAAAAGAAGAGTTCTGGTGTTGGCGGCCCCTGTAAAACGCCTCGATGAATTTTAATGCGAACTGCTTGCATAAAATTTGATGTGAGTGTGAATATAATGAGACGTTTGATGAGGCGAGCTGGGGCCTTTGTGGACAGGGTATTTTCCGCCAAGGGTTTTAATTAAAAATTAAAGAACTCCGCGGATGTTTTTGTTGTTTTTTTAACACTCCGGTTTTTCTCTCTATCCAACGCCCCCGACAATTTAATCAGAACCGGAACCATACTAAATATTCCTTTGAGCTTCAAAGTTTTCCTCTTTTTTTTTTTCATAAAACAACATTGATTTAATACTTAATAATAATAATATTAACAATATTTTTTCTATCAATATTAATACAACCTCGGTTGACGAACATAATTCGTTTGAAAACGAATTGATTTAACAATCAACATTAAGGTAAAATGGTATAAAAAATGTATATGTATAAAATCTTAAACAATATAATGAAAATATACATAGTTTTGTAAGCAGTATTAATTAATTTATTAACAAGTTTTTGTAATATTTTCATAAATTAACTTTAATTTTCTATAAATAAATAATTTGTAAAATATATTAATAAATGTATAATTAAAATCAAAATTTATGAAAATAAAATTATTATGGAAAACATATGTAAAATTTCTATTATCTTTACTGGATGGAAAACTGAAAAGTTACGTTTTATACGAGCGAAATCATTGATTATTTGTGTTTTCAATACTGAATGGAAATACGTACATTTGCGGTTGTTTTTAATCGTACATTGGTGGATAACATAATATCTACATCAATAATAAAATGGTTATGTTTACGATGATAATAATAATAAACTAAACAATTGGTATAGACCGCAGTCCATTAACGAAAAATTTATTATTATTTTTATGTATAACAAAAAATAAATGTGATTGCAATGAATGTATTAAAAAAATAATGGTTATATAACAGCTTTGCAAAAAATTGTAAACTCTGGATAAATACATTGATTTAAAATATAAAAAGATATATTTTATTAAGAGCTTTTCCTTTTATAATAAAAGAATACTTTGATACAAAATAAATATATATTATAGCTTAACAACACTGTTTGAAACTAGACTGATCTAGGTACTAAATTCATGAAAAATAAACCACACCAAAAGAAACTGAAAGGAAAAAATGTCATGTATAAAAAAATATAATTTCTTTTAAAATTTTTAATTAATTAATAATCCGGACTAATCGAAACCGCACTTTTTGCGGTATCGCTATAATTTAAAAATCTGTAAAAGTACTCCATATTTATATTAATTTATTGGGTAATTTAAGATAAACACGTTGTTCAAAGAAAAAAAAAATATAACTAATATAATTGAAATGTGAGTAGAAAATTGAATGAAAACCAATATCATTTTATATTTTGTTATTGTATACACATAAAAATCAATTTATTTGTATTTTTATTATAAATTTAAATAAAAAAATAGCTTTCTGTAGTTCTTTACATATAAAATCTACAAATTATATAAGATTATATTAAATTAATTCAAAGTAAAAATAAATTTTCATATATTAGTCCGAAATTTAATTATTTTAGATTATAAATTTAAGTTAAATTAGTTAAAAATCGGAATATTGACCTTTTTCCTTTCTTGGTGTATTTATTATAATTTAATTGATGGAGTATTAATTATTGGAATTCATTTACGTAACTAAAATAAGTCTACTTTTTGGTTGTTTTCACTTCTGTATTTTTATACATTTATAAAGTAAAATTAATAGAAAATTTTATTGATAAAACAAAATAATATTTTTTTTATTTATATGATGATTTTAATAAAATCATGGTTCACAGACGATTAAAATAATTTGTTTACACAAAAAAAATCTGTTTTACTTGTAATATTTTGTTTGTCTAATATATTAGTATTACTTTGAAATATCTAAAAATTTCTTGAAACATATTTTTTTAAGTAACTTTTATATATTTTAAAGTTGTTACTGTTTTAACTTTTGCATTAAAATAATTTATTATTAACTACATTTTCATAATTTGATAATTTATTTGGAAAATGTATTACTATTATTTTGGAAGAAAAAAATATATAGTGTATTATATTTTAATTATTTTCTTAAAAAAACGTAAAGCATAAACGATATAAATGCATTTTATAAATTTTATTATAAAATCTTTTCCTGAAGTAAATGCACTGTAATGTGTGCATTCATAACGCTTGGAGCAATGCAATTTAGTTGTGAGTATTGTCTTACCACATCTATGAGCTGGGAGAGCTTCAGTTTGATGCAAACCCTGAGAACGTCTGAAGTGTTGACCACAGGCCTCACTAATTTGTTATAATTGGAGAGGAGGTCGTCGTAGAGACGCTTGGCGTCGGGATTTCCTGCAACGGCTCCATGAACAACCAGCGCGGATAAAAGCCATGCACGTAACGTTTCTGCAACAGTCGGAGGCATCGCGACGCGGCACAGCGGCACTCTATAGGCAAACTGCGCCCCGACGCCGGTGTCGGTGGCGGTGCCGGTAGCGGCGGCGTCGCGACGCCCCGATTCCGAAACGCGCGCCCGCCACCTTCGTTCGGGAACTACCCAAAACAGGACCAAAAGTAACAACAACAAAAACAAACAAACAAAAATCATAATAAACGGCAACTTTTCTCTCTGCGTCATGGGATGAGATATGAGTTGTCAAAATGAGGGACAAACTTTTACGCGTTCATTAATGTGTCAAAATGTGAGTGTTAATATAAATTATCTACACTTTAAATGATCTCCTAAGGAACTTTCTGAAAGTAACCTATTTATACCAAATTCACTTTAATTAATTAAGAACATATAAAGATTTATTTGAGATTTATACCGAACGATTCAAACGAATATGAGCAATATTTATAGAATATTTTAAACAAATAAAAATATAAATTATGAATTATTAATTAATACTATAATTTTCTATTGTCAATCATTTGAATTAATGTATCAAAACTTTATGAAATTATATAAGAAAACAAAATTAAGCTTTTGAAATTCTAGTTTTGTTTTTAATATTATTATTTGTCAGATTCGGAACTGTCACTTTTCAAATCCAATTCTAGTATTTAAATTCGTCACTGGCAAAAATATTTAAACAATTAAACATTATTGCATGAATTAAAAGGAACAAATAAATTTATTTAGATATTTTCATTTTATTTGAAATAATTAAAATTATATTAAAAATTATTTTAATTATATAATTTATTACTTATTAACATAAACATTACTATCTTCTAATTATGATACAAATACAAATTAATATAATAAACTTAATTATTAGATATTTTACTAAAAATTTTAAATTAAATTCATTTACGACTTTGGTCGCAATGGGCTGAAAAAGTAATAATTTCCAAAGAAAATGTTGCAATTAAATTTATCAATGTATACCAAAAGACGTCAACAATTTAACTATGATTTTTATATAAAAAAAATTGAGATTTATTATTCTTTTTTACATTTGGGTATAAATTTACGAAAATATACTAAATCCATTAATAAAATACAAATACGATAATTTTGTGTATTTCCGCAAATACAATTTATATAGAGAAAGCACGTTTAACTTACAATCTTTACAACATTGAGATAAGCTTGCTAATGTCTAAAACACAACAACATATATTATTTTATGTATATGCTCTACATCAGCGATTCTCAACCTTTTACTCACATTACCTATCATATTTATTTGTAGTTGTCAAGAGTATTAAAACAGTTCCTAGCGATGACATCTGTCATTTCGTGACTCATTAAAAATTTATCGCAGACCAATTTTGTAACGCGACTAATTGCTTCAGAACCGTTGGTCTACATTATTTATCTATATAATATAGCTCAATTAATACATAATTTATTTTAATTATATAATAATTATGTCTATTATCTATACAACTTATTTATTGAGCTGCATTTTGTATAGTACATTATTTCAATTTAAAAAAAAAATATAAACATAAAACTAATATAAAATTGTTATCTATATAGCCGATAACTCATAAAGACCCGATTTCACGAAAATCCCGGAAATCGCACTAATCGAATGAAACCCCATGAAAAAAACTGCAAAAAAATAAGTTTATAAAGGGAAAATTGTGTCCTATTATTTTAGAATTTATTTGTATTTTGTCAATTAAAATATAATTTGTTTTAAAATTTTCAAACCGAACTATACCAGGTATTGCGTCAGTAATTATTTCTCAAATATTTAATTAATTCCACGTTTGAGGCCATTTTTAACGTTTATATACTTGTTTTGTAAACAAATTTTATATTTTGAAAAATCAGCTTTTTATCATTCATTTTTTTTATAATTCAAATTATGATCCTTATTCTTTTATTCTTTCCAGAATACATTTTGCGTATGATTATCATCATTTTACAATAAATTAATTTTTTACTCAAATATTTATAGGTATTCAGTAATTATCACCCACTTTTGCAATTGAAAAATTTAAAGGACCCCCGAAAAAGGGTATGTGTAGAAAAACATACTGCCTGTCATTAATTTTTCTAGAAACCCCCAAATACTTTTCGCGACCCCCACTTTGAGAATCATTGTTCTAGACGGCGATTCCCAATATATCAATTCCCCAGATTATACCCCTTATTTAAGAAATTTATTAAGTAACCATGAATCTAAAATAATACATAATCTAGAATATGGAAATTATAAGTAAGGATTAATAATGTTTACAACCACTCAACCACTTATATAATGAAAATTATAAACGAAATGTTTACAATATACTAATTGGATATGTGTATAATCATGCCATCTCCAAGCCTTTTTGTACATGACACACTAATTTCCAGTTTTCTTCGCTACGCTGATTCCTTTCATTCAGTAAAAAAAATACCATCCACTCAAAATTATGTAATTAGTTTTGTCTATTTTAGCTGTATAACCTCCAGAAACAATATTTTTAATATAGATTCTTTATTTGTTATTTTTATGTATCATTATTAATTACAATTATATAATATTTTCTAACAACGATCAATTATATAATGCCACTCCCACACTATATATGACTTAAGTCAAAATGTTTAAATGTTTAAATGAAAATGTTCAATTAAGTCATTTTTTCTAACAAAGAATATGTACGCAATGCCACATTCACAATATGTATGACTTCAAAATGTCAGTTCATAAAGCATTAATTTTTAAATCTCTAATAATTTACAATATAAAATCATTTTATTTGAAATTTGTTTTCGTTTAATATAAAATAAAAAATTATATAATCTTATATTATATAATCCTAATTTCTTTTAATAATGAAAATTTCCATATTTTTTTTATTTAATGATTGCCTTAAACTTAATTGATTTTCAGTATTTCAATTAAAGGTAAAGGACAATTCCATTGAACTTAATCACAACATCCAATAAATATTGACTACACGAAGCGTGTGCTGACTCTTGATTCTTATTCGAGGATTAAATCGCAAGCAATATAAATCAACAGAGTTGTAATTAAAATCTCATCCTGAAAGCTTCCAGCACGGTCCGCTTTCAAATGAAACAAGAGGTAATCTGAAGAAGTGCCTAAAAACGTTCTCATTCTTTAATTAGTTTTGCAGCTGCTGCATATTATTTCTTCATTTAAAGTGAATTATTATACAGCATATTTTATTAAAAAATATAAATACAAAATTAACTGTTTTTGTAACTGGACTATACTATCATAGCAATACTTAAAATTTATATTGTTGAAAATGTAATATTAGCAATTAATACAAGTGAATAAAATAAATAAGAATTTTGATGGTGTTGCATCATTTGTACAGTCTCAGCCAGATCTCAATGGTTCAGCATCTACAACAAGCTTGAGGCCCAACAAATAATCGTAAACTTTTGAGATTGAGACTAATCTTTTTGGACGTCTTCATCTAATATGGCTCAGATAAGCTAAAAGATCCTTCTTTAGAAGATCATCATCAGGATTTTTCTTACATATTTTTTTATAAAATGTATGTAATGAAATCTTTTCAAGAATTTCATGATAATACATTTCTTTTGTTTTAATTTTTTATTGATATTAAGACATAATTACCTCGCATAGTCCGATTTGGATCAATGCGGAATCACTATAGTCCGGTTTGAACATTTCAAAACAAAGTATATTTTAATTGAGTAAAATAAAAATATTTTTGACATAATTAGTAAATACAATTATTTTTTATACATAAATGATCTTTATTTAGTCCCTTATTTATGCGGTTTATGTATATATATATATATATTCCTCGATTTTGTATGTGTTCCTCGATTAGTCCGGTTTTAAATAGTCCAGGATATTGACGATTATACACAGTACATGAGGTATTACCGTAATTTGTTTCCTAGATGATTAGAGTATTCTTGATAATTTTATCTGTAGGCATCTTCTTCTTCCGTCTTCAATTTTAATGGATTAATTCGTAAGAATGTTAAGTCTCTATTGACTAAATATGAATGGACACAACTTTTTCTATACACCATTCATATGTCTTTAATCATAAGCTGATGAATCTCCTGTAATCCTTATTCCTAATAGAAAATCTTCTACAAATCTTTCATACTTATTCCAAAACTCTTATAATCCTTAATGCATCTAGAAAATCTTTCAGTTTTTTTAGTTTTTGTAGTTTTTTCAGTTTTTGTAGTTTTTTCATACTTTAGAATTTAGCAAAATATTAATTTTATATCAATCTTTTCTTTTAATAAATTTTCAAAGCTTTTCATTATAATTACAAACTAACGTATTCTCATCCTAGCCATAGACTTATTTCTTCTGAAAAAGTAGTTTCGCTTAACGAAGTTCATTTCGTTGAATGCACCTTTATGTTAATCGAGATATAACTGTATTGGTATTCAATTACTAAAAAAAAAAAATAAATTTGTCATGTGCAAATAATTAAAGTCTGAACTGTTGTATATTCTCCTGAAACAAATGCTATTTATGACGTGATTTTAGAACGAAAATAACTGACCTTATTGAATTTTAATTATTGCCCTTTACATAGCCCGAATACCCTGAATGCAAAATGCGCCCTATTTTCCAACTGTTATAATTAGAAAACCACTCGTCCGACTCCGTCAGGCCGTTCAAAGCGACCTCCGAATCCTTTTACTTTTGACCGTCCCGTTCTTTCTTCACTTCTAATTAAAACAGACAAATCTCTTTGGATTGTATACATAATACAGGTTTATGCGAAGAAGAAATCTGCAAATTAATGAACTTTTTACATTAACAGAAAGCTGTAATTTAGCAATTGAAAACAGTATTTATAAATTATTATTGACTTATCCCATATAATAAAAAGTATTATATAATATCAGTTCAATTGCTTAGTAAAATTATAAAAAAATAGAATAGAATTACAAATTTGGTAACAAACGTAGATTGGCTTACGTTAAGTTGTACATATGACAACATATTATATAATAGGAAATAGCTTTAGCAAATACTAACTAATGACAGTTGGTACTCCTAACCAATATAAGAACACTAATATCTTCTAACGAACTTCGTGTTTTCTTATAGTAAATTACTAAAAAATAATAGTCGCTGCACTTAAATCAAATATATATATATATATCTCGTCATGCATATTGTGAAACCAACATACATGATACTAATACCACCTAACTACCTTCCTTACTGTTTTCATAACTAACTAACAAACAGTTCATGCACCTATGTACAGTATATATCATGTCTTGATTGACATACAGCATACTAATATTTCTTAACTAACTTCCCTACTATCCTCTTTATATAAATTACTACATCATTTCACTACTAAATTACAGAAAATATCATATTTTACAGTTTTCATGAAATAACTTTCCTATCGTAAATCGAAGTCATTTTTATAAGCCAAACACAATAATTACGTCAGTACACATTCTGTTTGAACTAGTGAATAGTACTAATAATGGAAATACAGTATTTTCCTTCAAGGTATAGATTGAAAACCACGATTTGAATTGTTATTTGCATTGAACAGTAGAGGCTATTATTTCACGTTAATGGTCTAGCGTAGTCTACACTACACTATACTCAATACCTATTAAGTGGTTTCCGGTTCTAGAGAAGTGCCATTCTGTTAGATCTTGAATATCAAAGCACAAGCGCCAAAATCAACATTGCTTAACGCCACGTTATGATGAATACGCAACATCAGAGGCTATCACAAATTCGTTAAAGTAGGGTACGCCAACTGGTGAATATCAGCTAATCGATGTAACATTATTACTGTTTTTCGCGTTGGTGGAAAACAGTTGAAATTCGGCGCTATCTGTGAATACTCACATTCACGAATTTATCTGCGAAAGTTCCGATTCGAAAACAAACGCTTATATCGCCTCAATTGCGAAATGGGATTGCAGGGGAGAGGGTGGAGGTTGAGCAGTACATCGAAATCGCGTTTTGCAAAGCTGCTTAAAATAAGGCTCACATATGCGATACGAAGTTTACACGCTTTAATAAAAACCCACCCTCCAACCCTACCTTCAACAACATCGGTATTAAACGGCATAAAAGTTTATTATTAATAAGGCAGCTCCGACTATTTATTTATTTTATTTTTTAAGTGCATGCACTTTATTAGTTCCCTCGAGCTTTCCGTGGTTATGGATAACAATTTCACAACTTTCATATACAAATCGCATGCACTTGAATTCTCGTATACACTT